CAGTATTTAGCCTATAAATAGTGGGCAATTTCATTCATTTTGTGATATCCCAAGCAAACATTTGCTTTGAAACACATCTCTTTTGAGTGTTGTTTGAGTTGAGAGAAGAGCAATACCTCCAATTTCACTCCAGTTTTCGGGTGTACGAATTTACGGAGAGCCGTGTTAACCTCAGGGGGTTGTTCGTCCATTGTAGCGATTATACACATCAGGGCAAATTTGCTTCTAAGGTAGTGGATTACCACGACACGGTTATCATTCTGATTGATTATTTATTTAATATTTTTCAATCAGTGCTAACGCCTCGTTTTGCAACAGTCTATTTTCCAACATGATGTTCCCAAATAATCATCGTGTTGAGAGGAGATAACAGTTTTGGGAAAACCCTTCGTACCTTATTTGCATCCGACCCGAATCCGAGTCCGAGGTGTCACATTGATTTTCAAAACTCTGTTCTTTACAAATCCACTAAAATCTTAATTTCTTCATTTGAGAAAATAATTCATTTACAGTAATAAATACTATCAAATTGTTTTACAAACCATTCAGAGCATATTCAACTCAATCAATTAGTACATGCCAACTATATTCAAATTAACGAAATTCATTTAAATCATCTATTTTCTGATCTGAAACTTTGTAAGGGAGATGCTGACATGTCTTGCTCTTTTAGTTTCTCTTCTCTCTTCTGTAACCTTAGCCTCACTAAGTTCCAATCCCCTTTTATGATTCATTTTCTTCGATCGAATCTTAACCTGTTAGTCATCCCGAAACTTGTTCGTGCTCGATATTTACAATGGAGCCACGGGAAGAAAGGAAGAAGAAAGCCAAACATCTCCAAAGTCTTCTTATTTTTTCTTCCCCTCTCCACGTGTCTACTTCTTTTATAAGGGAAAAATAAAAATCTTTCTTTGTCAAATGACCATTATACCCCTTATTCCATTAGTTATTTACTAAACAATAAAATAAATCTTTCAAATCTTTCAAAATCAGACTTCAAATTTTTAAAACTTTCATTTTAGTCACTTGCTCTTGTTTTGGGATGTTACAAATCTCCCATCCTTTTCAGAAAATTTGTCCTCGAATTTTCATTGCACACATTGATAAGAACATATCTTCTAATGTTCTCATATTGTTTTCTTTACTTTATCCTTTCGAAATTTATAATCATTGATTTGCCTTCAACTTCCAAAGAACCCAATTAAATTTTTGTCTTTTCTCTCCTTTAATTCTACATCTTTCTTTGACCTTTCTAAAATTCCATATAATATCACTCATCATGTAAATAGTAACATCTATTCTCATCACTTCACAACATAATTCTATCTCTAATTACCTTATAATAATAACCCAAACTCTTATTCCATCATCATTTGACCAAAAACACAACCTTAACACTTCTTCAAATGTAATTAAACATACATTTTACAGAATCAAACAATCTTTTCACATCACCTTGCACATTTTTCTTACTTTATATCAAACTTATCATCTACATTTCCATATAACCTTTATTATATATGATCCTTTAAACTCAGTCATTTTCATTCTTTATTCCATTATTTCTTTATTCATTCAAAATCGAAATCTCCTTATACATAAATTGTATCTTTCCTTTCATGTTCACATATTCTTTTTCCTATCACTTATACTCATCTCTGATTACCAATCTTTATCACATATTTCTCAGCGATATCTTACTCAACTTTTCAAACTCATACACAGTACTACTCATTTGCTCTTTTATATCACATATATTTATCCTTAACTATCACTCCTTATCACATTTTCATGATTTTGATAGTCAACTTTACTTATACAGAACATCATTCTTTATCATCTCTTGTACTTATATTTCCCTCAATCATACGAGTCCTTATCTCCTTTACTACCTTACATTTCCATACTAAGAATACACTACCATATCCAAATCCGCATCATACTTGGTTAACTTACCCTGACATCATCTTCTAATTCTAGTATATTTTCATCACATACTCTGGTTAGCCAACGCTAACTCTTTCCATCTTAACTGCAATCCTTATCATATTCACACTCTTGCTTATACACAATACTATCCCTTCGTTTCAAACTCATAAGCTCTGACTTTATATATATATATATTATACGCTTGTCACTAATACACTTATTCTTAAACTCTTCTACCAATTCTCACTACATCATTAGATCTTTTAATGCTCTTATGGTGACACTTGTTCACCATATTCTATCTTATCCACAAAATAACAAAATGAATTCATATCACCTTTCCGATTCAAAACAGTGAAAACTTTCTATCATTATTCAGATATGATTTCAACTTTCTGAAATCAACCTTTAATCTTATAAGACACTTTTTGAGGTTTTCACTCTTCATCCTGCCTGGGTAAGGCAGGTGAATTGCTATCACCATCAGATTTGTCAGTTATCGATTCACTTCGACAATTTCTATAATCAATTTCTATTATATCATACAAATCTTATTCTATTAGCAAGACAACATACTCCTTATAGAATCAGATCAGAAATTTTCACTTTCAGTTGTCATGTACACATTTTTAAAACTCTTTTACCTTCGGTTTAAGCCTAGAATCGGCTAAACATTAGCTCTAACACCATTAAATATAACACCCCAACTCATATCCGACCTAGATCCGAGTCCGAGGTGTCGCATTGACTTTTCAAAACTCAGTTTTTTACAAATCCACTAAAATCTTAATTTCTTCATTTGAGAAAATAATTCATTTACAGTAATAAATACTATCAAATTGTTTTATAAATCATTCAAAGCATATTCAACTCAATCAATTAGTACATGCCAACTATATTCAAATTAACCAAATTCATTTAAATCATCTATTTTCTGATCTGAAACTTTGTAAGGGAGATGCTGACCTGTCTTGCTATTCTTAGCTTCTCTTCTCGCTTCTGTAACCTTGGCCTTACTAAGTTTCAATCCCCTTTTATGATTCCTTTCCTTCGATCGAATCTTAAACTGATAGTCGTCCCAGAACTTGTTCGTGCTCGATATCTTACCAATGGAGCCACAGGAAGAAAGGAAGAAGAAAGCCAAGCATCTCCAGAGTCTTCTTATTTTTTCTTCTCCTCTCCACGTGTCTACTTCTTTTATAAGGGAAAAATAAAAATATTTCTATGTCAAATGACCATTATACCCCTTATTCCATTAGATATTTACTAAACAATAAAATAAATCTTTCAAAATCAGATTTCAAATTTTTAAAACTTTCATTTTAGTCACTTGCTCTTGTTTTGGGATGTTACATATAGTGTCACAGGTCTTCTTCCTCGTACATGCCAAAAAGCTCAATGATCAACCTTCGATCATCTTATTGAGTCATATTACTAGAGTAAATCATGGACTTATCAGAGTTGATCTTTTGTCCGAAGACCTTTTCGGATATGTTGAGAACTTCCTTCAATCTCCTCGCTTCATGGATCAACTTCTTTATGAACTGTTGGAAAAAAATTGATAATTTGGAAACTTTGAAGCATATATTCCAAGGGTAAAGATGAATAGTCGAATAATGAATTTACTAATTCATATTTTACTCCGTGAGATCTTTACAACGGTATCTCATATGCTCAAAATGGTTGCGTGATGAATGATAAATCGATGCTCAAATCGAGTACATGCAAGGAATAATTTATATACAAACCTACTTGCTAATAATTAAATAACTTATGTTAAAATTGTACCTTGTGTGCAAGCGCATGAAAGTTGCAAATTTTGCAAATTGTGAAGCATGAACAATGAGATAATGCAAATATTTGAATTGGTCAAGCCCATGGGTAGTAATTGATTTTTTTATTTTCTTTTAATTCAAATGTTAATATGATAGATTGCAGTTCATATTAGTATTAATTGATTATTTTTAATTTTAATCATATACTAATTAATAGTCTTAATTTCCAATTGTTTTCCTCTTTTTTTCTGTAATATTCTTTAACAATATAAAGTTTGTGATCTTGTAAATTGTGCTACTCTACCCTGATTATATTGTTTTTGTATATTTGAAGATAGACATTAAAGGATCTCAAACAACAAGGAATAATCAAAATTTTATCTTAAAAGACGTGTAATTGTAGGTTTCAACTTATTTTTAACCCGTTAATCTATTAGAAATCAGATTTTTATTTCTTAACTGTTATTTTTGATTATTTAATAAAATATTTTATTTTATTTTTATCGTACAAGTTTTTTATATTTTTAACATGAACAACAGGTTATCATCCGCATAAAAAAAATTCATGTATGTGCACCTTCACTAAAAGGGTTAAATTTTAATAAAAAAATATTATTTGAGTAACATTCAAATAAAAATTAAAATGTATTATTTTAATAAAGTTTTAGATATATTACATATTTATTATTTCTTTAAGATTTTATGTTATAAAAAATTAAAATAAACTAAAATTATTTATTTGTCAGAAGTTAAAGATAACATGTCATTTCAAATAGGCAATAGGGACAGTAAAGTAAGTGAGGTTAGCTGGGAAATATAAAATGTTTAAATCTGATAAAGGTCCTTAAATTATTTCACTTTTTAAAATAAATTTTTATACTTTTATTGTACTAAAAAAACTCTTATATTTTAATATTTACTTAAACAAATCCTCATTTAAAATGATATATCAATTTATATATGTGTTATTTTAGATATAAACTAAAAATTAGGGACTCATTTACATTCAGGTTAAAAGATTACAAAATTCTGAGGGATTATTTAAATTAACAAAGTTCAAGGGCCTTTCCAGTATTTCAGCGAATATAAATAAAAAAATCTCTTGTAGTTTGTCGGTTTGCGTGCAATGAGCTCTCTTTATCTCTTTTATGCTCCCTACAGTTTCGAGCTCAGACTTTAGATCACTCACTGTCACTACTTTTTTTCTTCCCTCTCTCTCTTCACCTCTCTTTTGACAATTTTTAAAGAATTTTTATTATTTTTATAATTTTGTTGGGTTTTTCTTCTTTAAAACCCCTTTGAGCGTTCAAAGTTCTTTCTTCTGGTTCTTGAGACATTTTGTCTTCTTCAACATGGTTAAGGTTTCAGTTTCTCTTCACATTTCTGTGATGGGTTATTGCAGAAAACCAGGTTCCTTGTAATGCTTCTCCTTTTCGGCTCTCTTTCTTGAGAGAGAAAGCCTTTCAAAGTTCTTTTCTTTATTTGGTGCTGGTTAGTTAAGTTTCAACAGTAGAACACAGTATTGAAGCTCGCTTGAGAATCCATTTCAGTGATATCGACCTTGCGTAGCTCTGTGTTTTTTTTAACTTCCTTTGCTTGGTTTTTGAATCAAGGCTTCTAGGGGACATGGAAAACGTTTTAAAGTTTGATCTTTGGTGCAGATTTTGTGAGCCATTGTTGTTTTTAACTTCACCAGCTTGATCATCATCAGCTGGAGAAAAAAAACACCCCGAAATCCACTAAAATATCATCCATTTGGCCTTTACTTGAGGCTGTTTCAATTCAAAAGCCCTCATTTTAGCTTATTATTTCTCCTTTTCTTTCAATTTTTGTTTCGTATATACCATACTAAAGGACGGACTTTACTAAGAAACAAACAATCTTTGGTTTCTGAAACCAAATCCTCCAGAACAAGCAGCTTTTTCATCACTCAGCTCGCAGCTCTTCACTTTTTCATATATAGAGGTCGATTGGTTCTTGGATTCTGGGTTTTTTAACAAGAAATGGCTATGGCGGTGGCCCAACACAGGATGAGTACCAGCGGTAGCAGCATCAACAAACATTTTGATGCTGCAGGCAAGTATGTTAGGTACACAGCTGAGCAAGTTGAAGCCTTGGAACGAGTTTATGCTGAGTGCCCCAAACCAAGTTCCTTGCGTAGGCAGCAGTTGATAAGGGAGTGCCCCATTCTTTCCAACATTGAACCTAAACAGATCAAAGTTTGGTTTCAAAATCGCAGGTACTGAAACTTGGTCTTGGTTTTTGTTTTTCTTCTTTGATTTAGTTGTTATAAACAAAAAATGGGTCTTTTTTATATGAGTAGCTTCTTCTGTGCTTTTTAATATGGTTTTGAAAAGTTTAGTTATGAGGTTGTCACTGGAGTTTGCAGATGTAGAGATAAACAAAGGAAAGAGTCTTCAAGGCTGCAAACTGTAAATAGAAAATTATCAGCTATGAACAAACTGTTGATGGAGGAGAATGATCGGTTGCAAAATCAGGTTTCTCATCTGGTTTGCGAGAATGGTTATATGAAGCAGCAACTGCATACTGTAAATGTATCTTCTTTTAGTCTCACTCTCTGATCTTTTCCATTTTCCCTATGGGACTTTACTAAAATGTTTAGTGTAGAGATTTATGCCCTTTATTTGCATTTAAGTTGAACTTTAAGCATTGGATAGATCTTTTTGGCATGACAGCTTCTTAGAATTGAATCGTCTTAATTTGCCTCAAATTGTGTCTTGTTTTTTTTGTTATCGGTTCTTTCTATATATGCACACAAGTCCACCTTATCACATTTCTTTTGCAATTATGCCACTTTCTATTTTGTGTTATAGGATTTATTTTGGGTTATTGCTTTATGCAAAGATATGCATATACTGTGTTTCACTTGTTGGTGCGGTGACTATTGTTATTTGTGTTTTGGATTTGCTTTTCAGGCATCAGCAACTGATGCAAGTTGCGACTCTGCGGTTACCATTCCTCAGCATTCACTCAGAGATGCCAATAACCCTTCTGGGTAAGTTCAAGTTTTAACTACAAAGGACTGTGTGTCTGTGCGCTCGCGCTCCTATGCATAATTTTTCCCTAATAAATGCTTTGCATTTTGTTATGTTCTTGGCAGCCTCCTCTCCATTGCAGAGGAGACATTGGCAGAGTTCCTTTCCAAGGCTACAGGAACTGCTGTCGATTGGGTCCAGATGCCTGGGATGAAGGTGTCTTGTACAGTTTTTATTGTCCATTCCTTTGCCAATGATTGATATTGTGTATGAATGTAATTATATTATCTTTCTTTTGTTACAAATCAGAAGTGTCTGAGTGTATTTTTCTTAAATTGTTGTCAGCCTGGTCCGGATTCAGTTGGGATTTTTGCCATTTCCCAAAGTTGTAGGGGAGTGGCAGCTCGAGCCTGCGGTCTTGTAAGTCTAGAACCTACAAAGGTATGACTTATAATTTTGTTACAAAAATATTGAGACGTTTATCATTGCACGACCTTTTCTAAGCAAAACATTTGAATTATTGTTTAATAGATTGCAGAGATCCTTAAAGATCGTACATCTTGGTTCCGTGGGTGCCGGAACCTTGAAGTTTTCACCATGTTTCCAACTGGCAATGGTGGAACGATTGAGCTTGTATACACACAGGTAAAGAATGATCTTTATTTATGAATGAATGTTAACTCTATCGTCATGAGTAATGACTAAAACATGAACTGGTTTAGTTGTTTGCTCCAACTACACTGGCTCCTGCAAGGGACTTTTGGACTCTAAGATACACTACATCATTAGAGAATGGCAGTCTCGTGGTACGCATGTCTTGCACTTATTATTTATTAGACAATTTAAATCATTTCTATGTATGAGTGTTTAAGAAAGTCAAGGTTGAATGAACATTTCAGTTACTTGCATGACTTTCCTATCTTGAGAATAGCATGATTATAGATGCTGATTGGCTTTTCCTTTTTTTGTAAGGTCTGTGAGAGGTCCCTTTCCGGTTCTGGTGCTGGTCCGAGTGCAGTTGCTGCAGCTCAATTTGTGAGAGCGGAAATGCTTCCTAGTGGCTATTTAATTAGGCCATGTGATGGTGGAGGGTCCATAATCCATATTGTTGACCACCTGAATCTCGAGGTTGGATTTCTGATTAGTTGGTACTTTTCAGATATCTTCACATATCACTTGTCGCAAGACTAAATTTCTCGAGATCCTATTGCAGGCATGGAGTGTGCCAGAGGTGCTGCGTCCACTTTATGAATCCTCAAAAGTAATTGCTCAGAAAATGACAATTGCTGTGAGTAAATTCAGTAGTGCAAAGTGATCATATATTAGTACAAAGAATAAGACAAGAGTCGCTTAAATAGACTGATAATCCAAATTAAAAGGGGGAAGTTTCTTTTGTTTTCCTTTAAAAGAAATTTTCTAAAGGTACTGATTAATTGATCTCTGCGAAGGCACTGCGCTATGCCAAGCAAATTGCTCAGGAGACAAGTGGTGAGGTTGTTTACAGTATGGGCAGGCAGCCGGCTGTCTTACAAACTTTTAGCCAAAGATTAAGCAGGTAGCTGCAAGATTATATTGAATCCTTGTTTTTTAAAAAAAAATACGAGCTTGTGGGAATAACATGCATGTGTATGGCCATAACCTGTTTTGCTTGAGCATTTAGATATCTGTTATACTCCGTAGTTTCATTGATGTGTCTATCATTCACTTGTAGAGGCTTTAACGACGCTATAAATGGATTCAATGATGATGGGTGGTCAATATGAATTGTGATGGTACTGAGGATGTGATAATTGCAATTAATTCAAGCAAGACTTTGAGCAGCTCTTCAAATCCCACCAATGCTCTTTCGTTCATGGGGGGTGTCCTGTGTGCAAAGGCGTCTATGCTGCTTCAAGTAAGTTCCATAAGGGCCCCCAGAAGGGGAAAATTATCTTCTTATTCTATAATATGGATTACATTAATAAATTGTGCATTTAGCAAGAAAGTTTCCTTTTGAAATTTAGGTGCATTAAGTAAATTTTTAGATTGAATCTGGGAAAAAGTTTCTACTGTCAGTCTGTCAGTAATATTTTAAGCCTTTTCTGCATTGTGTCGTTGGGTAGTAATGTCTATATACCTTGTTGTCTTTTGTCAGAATGTTCCACCTGCTGTGCTAGTGCGTTTCCTGAGAGAGCACCGCTCGGAGTGGGCTGATTTCAATGTTGATGCATATATTGCCGCGTCATTGAAGTCTGGAACATATGCTTATCCTGGAATGAGACCTACAAGGTTTACGGGTAGTCAAATAATCATGCCACTTGGCCACACGATAGAACATGAAGAGGTATATGTTCTACAAATATAAGATGAGCGTTGCATATACACTAATTTTATTTGAGGATTGCATACTGGACTTCCCTGAAATATCCTTTATGTTTTGACCGTCTATACAAGTTAAGCACCTAGTAAGATGATTATTCTTTTCTTGTTATACCACTTTGAGAGTTTTCGTAAGATGGACTTTAACTTGTATTTTCCATTGAAATGTAGCCTTTTCTCATCTGGCCGGTAAACTATGCTAATGCTCTATTTATCATGTATCAGATACTAGAAGTTATAAGACTCGAAGGTCATTCTCTTGTGCAAGAAGATGCCTTTGTTTCAAGGGATATTCATTTATTGCAGGTGCTTTTATTTACATCTTTAATTGAAATATAAAACTCGACAAAGAGCTGTTATTATATTGGTTTTGTACATGTTTTACATGAAACCCCTACATTTGCATCATGTTTTTAGACCTACAGATCTTCCTTTTAATATCTTGACATGTATAAAATAAATTAATCCTCCTTAATTACATTTAACGAATCATTGTTTACATGTATGTCATCTTTACAGATATGCAGTGGAATTGATGAGAATGCCGTGGGAGCCTGTTCGGAGCTTGTCTTTGCTCCTATTGATGAGATGTTCCCCGATGATGCTCCCTTAGTACCTTCTGGATTCCGCATCATTCCGTTGGAGTCAAAACCGGTAAGGTTTCACCAAACTTGACCATAGAACAGGAGAGGCAAAACAAGTGATAGTATGTTTGAGCCCATTCAGTGAAAGTCCGATAAAAAAATGCTAATCATATATCTACTTTCTGGTTTCAGCTTTTAATATAATTTGAAATGTTTTTGAAGAATGGTTTTTGTATACTTATGGTGTTATTATACAGTGTGATGCACAGAATTTTTAACAATGAATCGGACTTTGGATCTGACTTCAAGTCTCGAAGTGGGGCCTCCAACGAACAATGCTTCAGGAGATGCACTGTCATGTCAGAATACACGATCGGTGTTGACAATTGCCTTCCAGTTTCCCTTTGATGGCACTCTTCAGGATAATGTTGCGACCATGGCACGACAGTATGTCCGTAACGTCATTTCTTCTATCCAGAGGGTTGCAATGGCCATATCTCCATCTGGATTGAACCCGGCTGGAGGTCCGGTGCTCACTCCAGGCTCTCCTGAAGCACTTACACTAGCTCACTGGATCTGCAAGAGCTACAGGCAAGTAGCGCCTTGATTTTCATTTGCTTTTGAAGGAAGGTTTTGCCGAAGTTCATTCATCCTGTTTTCTATTTCTTTTACCTCAGTTATCATATAGGGGCAGAATTGTTGAGATCTGAATCACTTGGCGGTGACTCAATCTTGAAGAATCTCTGGCAACATCAGGATGCAATGTTGTGTTGTTCGTTGAAGGTAACACAGACAATTCCATCTAAAAAATATGGAATACTAGAAACTCATCTTCTATACTCGTGAACATAGATATTCCCGAAGTAATGCTTATGTTTTGATTTTGCAGTCACCACCGGTTTTCATCTTCGCAAATCAAGCCGGTCTCGACATGCTCGAGACAACTCTAGTGTCCCTACAAGACATCACACTCGATAAAATATTCGACGAGTCTGGACACAAGACATTGTGCACTGATTTTGCCAAGTTGATGCAGCAGGTTAGAGTTCTAAAGCATATCTTTAGTAGTATCTAGTTAAAGTGTGCTGTAATTTCTCTTCCAATTCATAATGGGCTAAAAGTGGTTTGGATTTTATGGACAGGGATTTTCTTACTTCCCTGCGGGATCTGCATGTCGACGACGGGACGCCATATTTCGTACGAACAAGCTGTTGCGTGGAAAGTCGTTGAAGCCGATGAAAGCACCGTACATTGCTTGGCCTTCTGTTTTGTAAACTGGTCTTTTGTGTGAAACATTTTAGTATTTGTTCAACATCCAGTTTTTCCCATGGCTGACTGGGAAAAATATGAATAAACAAATGAAGAAAGAACACAAGTTATGTAATATTGAAGAACCCACGTCAGCTTTGCATTAATTTAATTTTTTGAAAGTGAAGCCAAATTTTGTCTAGCTTAAAACATGTGAAAATTGTGATATATTTGGAGGAAAACATGGTAAATCTCATAATTGATACGGCGGTGTGGGTAAAATTATCACAACAATCCCTATGCTATACTTTAGATTGAATTTATTTCATTACAAAATGGAAAAATTGGTCCTTAAAGTTTTAAAATGAGTAAATTGATTCATCTGTTAGTTTTCCACAAAACAATTATATCAATGTTTGTATAAATAATTAATTTATCTTTTTTTCATTTGAAGTATTTTACTCTCTAACTGTTCAACTTTTTGTCAAAAACATGAATAATATGGTGATGAGATATATATTATATTATTATTTTAGTGATATAATATAAGTTATATCATTATTTTAGTGGTATGGTGTCATAATTTTAATAATTTGATACATATTAAGTCGTTATTTTGAATGATATGATATATGTCATATTATTATTTTAGATAATGTAACATATAACACATCAACAGTTGATCATATTTGAAAATATTATACTAGTAACATACGTTGATCGTTAATCAATTAATAGATTTTATTCAATATAATTTGTTTTTGATGAAAAATTAAACCGTTGAAAAATAAAATATTCTAAAAAATAGGAGATTAAATAATAAGTTGGGACAAACATTAGCAAATTGTGTCATTATTCCTTAGTTTTTTCCATACATATTTTTGTTAGGTTCTGATACGTCAAAAAGTAGTGGGTGAAATCTGGCAATGAATATGTAGTGGTTCTGATATGTCAAATAGGAATATCAGTTTAGTTATTAAATTGCCAATTTAAAAATAGATAAAAATTTAATTTGTTTAATTTTAGAATTAATAGGAACCTTAAAATATCTAAACAGAAAAGTGGAGAGACAAGTCTTAATGTATTTATTTTTAAAATTGATAAAGACATAAAAGATATTTAAATTTAAAAATAAATCTGATTTCTAAACTACTATTGAACCCAAAATTTTAAAAGAATTGACTTAATTTAGTTAGTTTCAACACTACAAGGACCTAACCGATAATTAAACCAAGAGAATTTGTACCCTCCTAGAAATTTCCTATGCTACTTTTACTATAGCAGAAGTCAGTGGGCATGTGGACTGCGGCAGATCATTTCAGGGTTCCCCCCAAAGCTGTATGGTCATATTGTTATTAATTATTATATTTTATATAAAGCTATTTTTAATATTTTAGTTTTATCTTTAACAAAGCCTTTAATCATGACTTTTTCTTTTCCTTGATTTGATGATTCTAAAGATCTATTTCTTACATGTTGGAAAACAAATCCAAGTCTGAATTTGGACAAATTTAGATAATCGATTGGTTCTATTTAACTTTGATGATTTTGGAGAATAAAAAGATGACAACATTAGGTCTCTAAAACATAAGTCGATTTTTTTTCCATTTATTTTAAAACAGTTTAATTAAATTAAAAAAAAATCATTTTGCTATTTGGCATTAGTCTTCAGCTTGAAATTTAGAAACAAAAATAAAATTTAACAATAATTTTGGAACGTATAGTGCAATTAATAAAAAAAAATACTCACAAGGAGGAGAAGTTCAATGGTACATTATCCACAAACACAAGCCTAGTACTTGAAAAGAAGCATGTTTACATCAATGTGATCCGATCATTCATCCCATCAGCCAAAAGCTTAAATTGAATCAACTGGTATTCATAACGCCTATACAAACTTTAAAAAAATAACACATCCGAGGTTACACAATGCTACAAGGGAAACATACTTGGCATAACAAAATGCTTTCTAAAGCAAGCCTTGTTTACTCCCTTCAAATCGGTTTTTTGGCATTCGTCTTTCACCGGGATGCGAGTGACCAAAGGTTCAACAGAAATGAAGGTACTGCAGCAAACCAGCAAATGAAGGCCATTGCAGTCGAAGTTTCAAACTCTGCGCAATGGTTCTGAGCACAGCTATCAAGATCGTTGTCAATAAGAACGGTGATGCCAGCAGAAGCACAAGCTGCAGCAAATGTGAGAGTGGATGTGATCTGCAAGGTAAACTGTACATACGATCAACACGACCAAAAAAAAATTCTGAAACCCAAGGAGCTATTAGTGAACACATATGAAGTGCAAGACAATGGAGAGGTAAAACAAGGCGGTGGAAAAAAAAAACTAAAACTGTTTGAGCTCTTAACTAATGCACGTCTGGAAACCATGGTGAAAGGAAACACTGATCGTCTTTCCAATCAAATTCAGTCCACATAATTAGCTTGCACTGCTTATGCAGAAGCTTTGCAAACTCTGGTCTAGTTCTACATGTTTCCTTGGAATTGCTATACAAGTAGTGCAAGAAATAATAGAAAACCATAGGTTTCTCCAAACAAAGACTGGTAAAAAGATGGGAACAATTTTTCTGGTTCAAGTAAAACCATATAGTAAAGTGCTATCAAAAGTTCAAATCCATTATCAGCTTAACTCCGAGTTATTAGTGACTACTAGTTGTCGACCAATATTTATGGTATCCTACATCAGAAACAATGGCAAGCCAATGGTTTTGATTTGAAAATCATATTGAAGACTATTCATACAATTTCAGCTCTTTAAATACCAAATTTGTCAACAACAAAAAAAGTAAGTTGAATAATATTTGAATGAGTCATGATTAGCTGCAATTTCAAACAGAAGAACAAAGCTTTTGTGAAAAAAGGGTCACAAGGTCGACCAAGCAGTTCTGAATGTCTCAAGCCAATAGTTGAAGGCTTGAAGCCATAGCAGACGTCACAAAGTTAACAGTAAAACATTTTAGGATAAGTTTCTGAGAAATCCAGAAATCAAAGATTTTTATGAGATTCAACAGAAACAAATAGCATATCACGTGTTCCGGTCATTTAGCTTCACTTGTAACAGTGAAAGTAAACATCTTACCGCATCACCAATAGTAAACAAAGTAACAACACGGGAATTCTGCAAGGAACGTCTCACTGAAAGGGCATAAATGTCAATGATAGCAAGCGATAAGCTCCACAAACTCTGCAAGCCAGTGGCAGCAACAAGGTAGCTGATGTAGCAAATACAAAATTCCATGTTATGAAAGAATCATGATAACATCAAATGCAGAATATAGACACAAAACTAGTTGCTTCACTTTGTTAATCATTAGTGAATTCCAAAGTCAGAAGAAAGATCGCATATAAAAGATGTTGAATTAGTGTAAAGAATATATTAAGAAAAATCAAAATCTGAGTAAAGGTCTAAACAAAACTACATGCACCTCGAAGAGCCACAAGGATGAAAACTTCTGTCTTGCATGCCCTCTTCTATGATCATCAAAATGCCCAGATAATGGAGCCCATAGAGAGTTTGATGTAGCATCATGCTACTGGCATTTGCCATTTTCTAAGAAACCAAACTAGAAAATTTGATGTAACATCATGCTGTTGGCATTTGCCATTTTCCAAGTAACCAAACTCTATTTTCTTTACATCTCTTACAGAGTTTGATAGAAGACCTCACTTGTATGTAAAACATGTCAAGTCTAAAAGATGCATAAAATCGGTTTCTTTCCCTTTCTTATCCCAAAAAAAAATACTAGAGAGATCTTAAGTGTTCAACTTTGATGTGTTGTTCAAAGTGGAGTTTTAACATCCTAAGAGATCCTACACTTTTGAGTGAATAGATGAATGAAGATATTCATGAATTTACGAAACACACAATGCCTCAACTAGATTTACATTGACAAACTCATATAGATGCAACCAAAGATAAACCACAATGCTTAGATAGCGATGCATGTAGCAACCAATCAAGCAGCCTTCTTACAATCAATTCTTAAATTCTAAAATCATGTTCACATGTAAACAGACAAGGCTCTGGCATTTGATTTATAGCACCATTCCATATTTAGAGCTTGCAAATAAAAAATATCATATGAAAAGAATCAAATATTGATCCTCAATTCCTCATCATCTTCAAATATTGATCAAAGTCCAACCAACTTTTAAGCAGAACAAAAAAAAACCATAATCGAAGGAATTACCAAAAGGCAGTAACAGATGGAAAATCACTAGTGGTAGCCATAATACAAAGTCCCACGACTGCAAAAGCAAACTGACATATCCGCAACACAAGCCCTCCCAGCGTACCAGGCATTCCCTGAAGGTCCTTCATCCTCACAGTTGGCACCCGGTCGTTGCCTCCAGCTCCGTCAGTGGTAGGTGGATCTTCTTCCACTGGTGAACTGAGCCACGGCTCACATTCATCTCTTCCACTAAACCTCCTTCAATTCATAATCACAACTCCAGAAACTTATCAGATAACCAAAATTCACCTTTTCTATTCCTCCAATTTTCACTACAACCAAACAGAATTTAACCGAATTACTTTTATTTCCTGCAAAGTATATTAGCTTAACTATCGCTATTAAATGGTATAATTACCCATCACAAAGTTTTCGTCAATTGAAACATCAGCTCATCTAACTTAACGACAAAAGAGTTAATTAACTAACAAACTATTCTCCAAATTCCTTTTAAAAAATAAAAAGATAACCAAATCAAATCTTATTAGCTAGCAATGGATCGAGGAAAAAGAAATAACAACAAAACTTCACAGTTTCCTAAAACAAACGAGAACACGGTTACCCGAGAGTAGGAATTCTGAAGAATTAAGCAAGAAAAATCTGGAATTAAGAAAATGATTATTTCGGTGGGTGATGTCTTCAGGTTTAAGAAAGTAACAGGTGAAAACAAATTGGGATTAAGGGAAGTCTGTTAAACTCTTTAATAGGAGTATTTTCTTTTCTGATTTTGATTGCGTTTGTTGCTTGGAACTGCAGAACGGTAACTTTGAGCTTAGGCTGTGAAGGTACCGGCGATGGGATTCGGTGGGGGAGGGAAGGGGTGTGTATTTGGGAAACAGTTCAAC